TTGGCAGATATATGATAATTCAATTAAATAAACTTTAATTCACCCACAAGTGGTGGCATAATCTAATTAAACGAGTAGAAGGGACTATGGCAGGTTGGTAACAAAAGTGTGCATGACCATGCATGATTTCCGATCAATCTCACCTTGAGTGATGAACCGGTAATTTCTTCAGATAATTTTGTTTGACATTCATTTGAAGACTGCTGGCGAGCATTCATATTGTCAAGTTTCTCTATAAGAGTCTGGGCTTCAGCATCAATTCTGCTTGCAGAGGGCAGTCACAAATAGACGTGAAGAAAGAATAAATACCATCTTTAGTTTCATGATGGTGAAAAATAAAAAAGTACTGATCTTCAAGAACATTTCCCACAAAGTTTTAGTTCTAAAGACATTCTCACGATTAAACCTTACTCATCAAGATTTCTTTGTAGTCTGTCCTATGTTCTTATGTGCCATGAGTTTTTATAGGAGCAGATTTCTTTGTGGAAATACAATATTTAAATTAACAAAAGCCCCATAGTTCAAGATGGTTTTCCATATTGGCCCTACCTTTTTATAAGATGGTGGTGTTATTAAAGCCAAAACTGCTGATGACTGCAGAAGAAAATTTGATCTAAAGGGAACATTTTTTGGGATGGTGGAAAGGAGAGAGAGAGAAAGCAGAAGAGAGAAGTAATGTTTACTGAGAAAGTGGAATTAGAGAAATATCTTTAAAACATTAGTACCTTGCAAGATCAGCATTGATTTTGAGCCCAGCAATTGCATCTTGAGCATATTGGAGTAGTTCTTCCCGTTTTACCTAAAGAATATAAGAAAGGAAAAAGTATGAACCGCTAGGTCTCTGCAGATAGAGATTCACTTCAAAAACCTCCTGCTATGATCCTAAAGATACCTTGTTAGCTTAAGTCAGGTTTATCAAGTCCTTACCAGTACTTCATCCTGATAACTAGAGAATTTGGTTGCTAAATTTTGTATACTATTCATTACTGCATTATGAACTTTCCTTTCTCCTGTGAGACAAAGCCTGTAAATGACCAACCAATAAACAAGTCTACATGAATTGAACTATTTTAGTTCAAAAGAAACTAATCCTCCTGGACAATGTTTCTCCTTAAAATATACATAATATACAGTTTTACCAGCTAATTAAGGCACAAAAAATGAATAAAGCATCAAATTTGCATGGAAAATGTAAGAAAAATCACCCAAATATCTCCAGAAGTAGCAAAAGTTCTTCCTCGTTTGGTGCTTCAAGAATCTGAGTCATACAAAAGAGTTAACCTGCGGTTAAACTCAATGTATCAGCAAATACAAAGCCCAGTTAAATATCTAATCACCAACTGAAGATAAAATCGAGGAAAATTTCACCATTCTGCCTATTAGGAAAACCAAGTAGTTTATTCAGAAAAACAAAGCTCGTGCCTACTAGAAATGAAAAACAAAGTAAGAACCTCTCGTATGGAATGACTCAAAAGCTTAATTCAGGCATTAGTATCCTTCTATAAGTTCATCTAGCTTCATTATTCTTCCAGAAAAGTCTAAGCGTACTTGTTTCCATTCTGTCCTCATTGAAACAATTTATTCTTCCATCAACAGAATCAGCAGGAAAATGCTCCTTCCCATTAAAGAAAATAAATGATTTCTTGCCTAGTTGATTTTTTTTCTATATTCCAATTCTGGGTTTAAAATGTAGCCAGTTGGTCTCTAAGTCTAGTGTGTGTTTGAAGGAGATATCATCATGAGAAGTATTTTATCATATTCTATACATTGTCAATAGAGGCTTAATTGTCTTAAATAGTACATTTTGTAAGCAAGCCCTATTACATGTATCCTGGCCTTAAAAAGTTTCTTTGCATGATAAAGTTAAATGTCAAAATATGATAATCCTACACGAAGAAATTCCAAAAACATGTGATAAAGAAAATGCCATTCTTTTGCTATGATTTGGAATAACAATGGCTCATAAAAAGCCAATGAGAGTGAAGCTGCAGAGAACTACGCAAGAATTTTTGAACTTACCATTGACAATGTTATGCCTTCAAGGGCTTGACTACGAAGAAATACATCTCGAAAATTCATGAGCTCACCTTCCACATCAGGGTCTCCATAATAAACCTGTAGCATTCAAAAACTAAGCACCTTAGACAACAACAACAACAACACATAATCAAGTCCAATTAATACTTCATGAAAAGAATGATAAAAGAAAAAGAATAGGATTACTAACTAAAGTGGGTTTTGTAGGAGAATCCTTGGGATCATCAGAATTAAGCATTTCATCTTGGTTTTTTTCATTATTATCATGGGTTTTATCAGCAGTCAGTCTCTCAATTTCTTTAAGAGCAACCAGCCACCTCCTCAGCAACTGAACTCTCTCTACGCCTCTACACGATACTGAGACCTCCTCCAGTCTCTTCACCGTGTGCCTTAAGCTCTTCCAATTCCTTGGACCCTGCTCCAAATATACCCACGTAAACCCTCCAAAACAAACACCATTGAAAATATAAACAAAGAGATTAAAACGAAAAAAAAAAAGGACATTACGATGCGGTCCTGGATGATTTTGGCGCCTTCAGAAACAGCATTGCCGGCGTGATATACGACGGTGTCGGCGTAATTGCGAACCTTTCTTGTGATGTTGTTGTTGCCTCCTACTTCCACTGCTCTGTTCACGGCTGTTCTTAGCCACGACATTGCCGCCACCTCTGTTTTTTTTTTCCTTTATTTTCCGACTATTAAGTTTTTCTTTTACTATCCTTAATGGGTTCTTTTGATCGACCAAATGCTTTTTTGGTTTCAAGAAACAGAATCCAGAATTTGAAAATGGCGCCGGTTGAAGAAAAAAAATTACAGCAACGCCAAGAAGAAGAGGAAATAATCAAATTCAAAACGTCGTTAAGACTGTTGGTTGTTTTAGCTAGGACCAAAATCATTGGTTTCCGTTGTTGTCCTTCTTACTATTGCTATTCCTTGGCATTGCCATTGCCATTGTTTTGTTTGCATATCGAGATATCATGGGATGGAAAATATCTTTGGAGGAAGAAGAAGAAGAAGAAGAAGAAGAGAGAAAAAGTCAGCGTCTTGAACGTTTTGGCGAACATCTTCTGGTAGCTCGTTTCAGGTGGCTTTATTTTCGCTCTTATTTACTTAATTTACTAAAATGCCCCTCTCATATAAAAAAACATGAAGAGAGATAAAAATTGGCAAAATTAACAAAAATATAAGTAGAAAGTAATAAATCAGAAATAGATATATATATATATATGTATATATATGTTTGTGTGTGTGTGATATTTTAACAATTTTATCCGCCATGCACCTACATTCGTCCAGTCAAAATCTTCTGCTAATCAATTAATCACTACACAAAATGTTTGTCTCCAACCCTAATAGATAATCTAAATAAAATTATATATTTAGCTCAAACTAAAAATTGAATTTTCATCTAAAGGTTGTCAACAAATGTATAAAGAAATTCACCAAAAAATAAACCTTCTTTAAAAAATCATATTATTCACTTTTTATAAATCATTATATACGAAATGATATATCAAAAATTCATCAAAAGTAAAAATAAGATAAGACATTTGATCTTGGCAAAATTGTTTCTTTTCTCGTTTGATCACAAAAACTCACTCTTTTTCTATTTGTTTTGCCATGTAAAAAAAAAAAAAAAAAAACAATGTACGTAGTATTTTAGGTTTTTTCTCTTTCTTTTTTTTTTTAGTTTATTTGGTGGATTCCACCCATTTAAGTAAAATGCACGAGCAAATCTCTCTCTCACATCTAAGAGGGAGGGATTCTCATATCAATAACTTCTTTACACCTAATAAGTTTCTCTACAGGTAAGACTTTAGTCATTATAAAGCACTATATGGTACATATCTAAATATAAGTTAATGTTTAATTATATATATAGAGTCAAAAATAGCGGCATCCCTATAAAAGCCACTAGTTATGCCAACAAGATGGTCAACGCATGTATTTCCTTCTCTATAAGTACGAAAAATATGCACCTCCTAATCAAACTTGATTGATCTTTTAGATTTGATGATCTTAAGTATGTTAAGGTTGCTCCCTTTAAATAAGTTATGTGAAAAAATTTTCATCTTTAAGGACTCCACCTACTCAACCATGATTTTTTTATGCTCTACTCTAAAAAACTTTAAGCCTTCAAGTAACCCCCACTCTCATCTGTCGTTGGGAGGTCTCATAGTGTTGGTCATGAATTTGATGATCTATCTGTCTTACCTATCACAAAGAAGCTTACAAGTAATAATAGGTCCATCTAGTTCTTTCAAATAAGCAAACATATATTTAAAATATTAAATTCACTACTTGCATTACCATAATCATAAATATCCAAAGTTTGTATAGAATATAACAGTACTTAGTTTTATAAATGCCTAAAAAAATTTTAAGACTCTAAAAAAATATTACTTAGTTTATTACTTTTTAATTATCACTAGAATCACAAAATGAGATTATCAAAAAAATAACATCGGTTGCGCCATTATCACGACTAAAAATACATAAATGGTGACATCACCACCTCCTATGCCTAAATCAAGTTAAAAAACCTATCACTAGGAAATCTCGATAGGACAGTCCATTTAAACACTCATGTATTTCTAGGTTATTGAATGCTAAAGACTCAAAATTGTCTCCCTCTTTCTCTTGAGCATCTCTAATGATATGATTAATTGTAAAAGGTTATTTGGGTGTTACGGAGTCCAAACATGGTGTCGCTCTGTTAAGTTATAGTGAAGACACGCACAATAAGGCGTGAAGATCTTGTACCTTCTTATTTTCTCTCTTAGTTTGGCCACCTGATTGGTCCTAAGTTGTCCACAAGCTTAGGCTTGCAATGTGATTATCAAACTTTCTCTAGGTGGGATCCAACAATAGAAACACCTTCTACTTTTTTTTCTCTTTCTTTTCGTAAGTTTTTTTAACTTTTTATATCTTTATTTCCCTTCTTTTAATAATTGGGGTACAACAAAAAACGTGACTTTCTTCCATTAGACCCTCATATACATGCATAAATGATACAATATTTGGTATTTTTTTCTAATAATGAGAATAAGTGAACATATTACTATAAAGTGCAAAAAATTCACTAGCCATTATAGATATAAATAAACTTATTATTATACCCAATAACTAATTTTTTAACAAACGTTATGCACTCTATTTATAGAACTAATTGTCAATATTTAATTGATTAGTTTAACTTTTAGTAAAAATTTTAGTTAAATAGATAATGTAATTCTAATTTTTTTAATAAAGTTAATCAAAATATAATATATGACTTTGATATTTTTTCTTTAATCATTAAGACAATAAAATTAACTTTAAAAATTATTTTTTTAGTAAAAATGTATTAACATAATTAATTTTAGAAAAAATAACTTCATCATAAATTTCTAATTAGATAAATAACCTCAATTAAGTGTTTCCATATAATTATATTTTAGTAAGATTTCGGTTAACTAATTATATTTTAAGTAGAATTTTAATTGTTTCAGATAAAAATTTTCAATCAAAGTTAATTCTAAATATGTAGCATCATCTAATCTCATCACAAGAAATCCGTCATTTAGTAACGATACATCTGATTCATCCGTCACTAAAATCATACATATACAAGTGCCACCATTGATACTACAAAAGAGTACTCATTATTATTTGATCTTTTACAAAAGAATGTTGTTTGATCTAATGACTTTTTCTTATTAGTGAAAATTGACCTAAGCAAATATTTTTTATAATGTCTGATAGACTTAACCCATGGTTATAAATCGAAAAAAGTAGATAAAACTAACACCCGTCAGTATTAGTTTTCTGTCTTTCTATATCAGATCAAACAGCGACGGTTTGATCCGTTACTATAGCTCATTTTTTATTTTTAATTATTTTAATGACTATTAATAGAATAAATTAAATTAAATAAGATAAACTAACATATAATAATTATAATTTAATATAATAATTTAATGTGACAATATACAATAATTATTTATTAAATATTTTCAATATAAAATTAAAATGTGAGGATGAGTAGGTATATTTTTCTTTGAAAATAATTTTCTATTGTATTTTTATTATTGTTTGTTCATCATTTATTGCTAAATATATGAATGTCTACTAAAAATTAGAATTGAAATAATACATGCCATGATTCTGTAATTTTAACCAAATTTACATCTCATTTTATTTCTACTTAGAATTTCCTATAAGATTAATTCTTATAAGTTTCTTATAAAATTCTTCTCTTCTATTTGAACTCTCTTAATTTTTGAAATAAGTTTGACAAAAGATTTGAGTTTGTTAAAAATACAATGTCAGCAAAAGTGAGCCCAATGAGAAGAGAATGACAGTTGAAACATGAGAACCTTTATTGGAATGATTGCTCTGTGGTACATATGAAATACATTCAAAATTTCCCAGAGTACAAGATGAATTACCTACAGACTTCTAGCAACAAGACAAAAGTGCTTCTTATAAAATGGACCATCATCAAGACTATTAAATATGAATGAGAGAGAGCCAGCAGCATCATTTTGTGTGGGGGAAACTGGATCCAACTGAATCAATATCAAGAATAAAACCAGATTTTCAGGAAAATCCAAGCTCCTGATTGTCATCCTGTTAGTAAGACGGAACTATTCTGAATAACGTATCAACTACAAATCTACATCTGGCAATGGCACTTTCCAAAAGTTCCAGGAGTTGAAGTCTTCCTGCAGGTGTTATGGAAAATCAGGATCATCACCAAATGTCAAAAACTAACACAAAATGGACAAAGAACTGACGCGGATACATTCTTTTCTCCTATTTACTCTAGAACTCGCAAATTTGAGGAATGAATCCCTACTTACCTGCTCGACCAATGAGGTCGGAGGGAACATGTCGTTTACAAGAGTGTGCAATGATGTGTATGATCGGACATCTATATAGTGACTAATGGCAACCTCCCCCTGTGAATTAAAGCAAACTGTAAGAGAGTTGATTCTCTAATTTAAAAGATGAGAACTCCACATGCTCTTCTCCTCTTCCTGGTTAATAGACAGGCTGCGAGAAATATTAATGAACATTACCTTGGGGTTGATGATAAATATCTTCCCCTTTGGGA